GGCTGTCACCTGTGTGGTGGCTTCTACTGGACACCCTCTCCCTGCATCTTTTCTAGTCCGCTCAGAAGTATACCAAACAACATCCCCAGGGGGCGATGTAGAGTATGAACTGAGGTTTTAATGCATGATATGCCTGAGAAAAGATAAGAGTGTATTTTCAAACCAAAAAGAGTTTCAAGTCACTGCCACGTGAGCCTTAACAATGGATCTAGAAGAGGTGTTGTTACCAGAAAGGGGACCTGGCCCAGGTAGCGTGTGCGTTCTTGACTTTGTGCAGGAAAGATGTCACAGCGTGAGCTCAGGTGAGTGTGAGACTGTGCTTATTAAAGGGGCAGTGACACAAGGAAGGGCTTCAAGTAGAGGAAGCCACAGGAGAGAGAGAGCCCAGGCGGGGCTGCTTTGGCTCACTGAGAAGTCAGAGAAAAGGGGGCCTTGGAGAGAGTTTCTGGGGATCAGGCTGGGGCAAGCTGACTCTGCCCATTGCTTCTCTGGTTGCAGGTCTTCCAGGGACTCTCAGGGTTGAGGAAATTTGTGCCTTGGGGGGAAGAAGGGGGGAAGGGAAGGCGAGGGCGTGCTCCTGGGAGAGAGAGCACATCCTGGGCCCTTTGTCTTGAGGATTTTAAGACCTGGGAGTTTATGGGGAGAATCTCAATAGAATATTCATTCACCTTCCAGGTGCACCCTTTCAGGGTCACAGTCCCCACTGATTGGTCAGCGCCAGAACAGGGGGACCGTTAGTCATTGCAGCTCGTCCCGGAGTCGCCCACCTGGTTCTGCTGCTGTTCGGGGCCTGGATGTCATCTCCAAGGAGGTGACCTTCTGTGTCTGGCTGCAGATTGCCGGCCAGTTTGTTCAGCCATCTGTCTCGGCTTCCCATTCTACTTGCCAAGGAATTTTCCTGGTTTCTTACTATCCTGCCTCAGGGTGGCAGGAAAAGCCTTGAAAAAAGCCCAGAGTAGGTTCAGATTCACTTCCTGCCTGTGCAACTTGGACTCGTTACTAAATCTTACCGAGTTTCGCTTTTCCCTTTTGTGAAAAAAGAACCGAGGCCCATGTCTCACAAGAGGGTGGATGTTAGGGTTTCATGTAATAAAAAATACAGCTCCCAGGGTTGTGCCTGGCACGTAGCAGGTTCCTTGGTGAATGCTTTTCTCCTCCTTAATGATGTTCCCTGCTGATCCCTGAATTTCCTCATCTGGAGAAGAAACACAAGTGTGCCCAGGTAGCGCATGGGCTGCACCTTGGGAAGAGAGCACTGTTTGGGGGAGATGGTTAGGTCTCTGAACCCCAACCTAGGACTCTGAGTGATCCTCTAGAGGGTCTTACCAGTCAGGCTTTGCTGGGTGAGGCGGTGTGAATTGGAATCTGTTGCTAACGCAAGTCAAGGCCTCTGTTTGAAACACGCAAATGGTTTCTCTTTGGAATTGGAATGGAACCCCTTCTTTATCGTGATCTGGTCCTTGTCTACTTCTCCTACATCTCTGGACTTCAGCTCTACCTGGTTTCTTTACTTGAACAGTTCTTCTCACCTCAGGGCCTTTGCACTTGCTGTGGCTTTACAGAGAATACTCTTCATCCAGGTATTCCTATGCCTTCTCTTCTTGTCATTTAGGGTTCAGCTTAAAAGTCCTTTTGTTATATATCGAATGCTCAGAACAGCCCTCCTAGGATGTGCTACTTTGGCACGTGGATTATTTTGAGGGGAAGGCAATTAAGACACCATGGGCTTGCAAGAAATCCTCCCCTAAGAGTATTTAAATTTGGGGGCTGGCCTCAGTCAAGCTGCCAGAGAAATCACTGCAGGCAGCCACTCATTCGACCGAACCTGTGAGCCTCCAGGATGCACCGGGGCCTTTCCACTTGGGGACGCGGCAGTGAACAACTCACGAAAATCCCCACCCTCATGGCATTTTTCTATAGAGAAGGCAGAGAAAAAACTAAGGTTAAACAAAGAAAATACACATGGGGGTAGATGGAGATAAGTGCCAGGAGGAAGGTCAGCACTGAAGAGGGTAGGGGCCGTGAGGGTGCGGGGAGCATGTGGGTCTCTGCGCACAGGGACGCAAGTCGCAACGGTTAGGCCAGAAGGTCTCGCTAAGAAGGTGACATTTAAGTAAAGGGTTTTGAACTAAGGAGTGGCATAATTTGGCTTCTATTTTAACATTATCATGCTGCTGTTGGGAACAGATGGAAAAGGCAAGAGAAAAACAGGAAGACAGGCAGGAGTAATCCACGTGAGAGGTGACGGAGGCGACTTAGTCACCTATTGCTGCAAACTTGGTGGCTCGAACCACACAGATTTATTCTCTTACACGCTGGAGACTGGGCATCCACATAAGGTTCATTGGGCCAAAGCTCCGTTGTTGGGGGGGGGGCTGGACTTCCTCTGGAGGCTCCAAGGAGAATCTGTTTCCTTGCATTTGCAGCTTCTGGGGCTGCATTTCTTGCTTTCCTTGGCTCATGGCCCCTTCTTCTATTTTCAGGACCAACAGCGTAGCAACTGCAAATCTTTCTCTGTTCTGGCTTTGCATCAACTCCTCTTTGCTCTTTTAAATCTCCCTCTGCCTCCGTCTAGTAAGGGTACTGGCGACTGAATTAGGCCCCTCCCCCTGGATTGTTCAGGATAATTTCCTTAAGTTTAATCACTCCTGTAATATTTCTTTAGCCACATGGTTTACTGGCACACGTTCCAGGGATTAGACCTGGGTATCTCTGGGGGCCGTTATCTAGCCCGTCAGAGGAAACTTGACCAGGATAGAAGTGAAGAAGACATGGTTATAAAGGAGCCGATTCTTGGATTTGTTTTGAAATCAAATTAGTTGGGTTGCCTTGTAGATCAAATGTGGGATGTGAGAGAAAGAGAGGAATCAGGGAACATGCCAAGGCTTTGGCCTCAGCAATGGTAAGAAGAGTTGCCATTTACTGAAATGGAAGGCTCTAGGGGAAACATTTTCAGGGGGGTGGCTGATTAATGTCAGAAGGTCAAAGGGCTCATGGACGTCCTGGGGTAAGTCTGTCACCTGTTTCTGGAAAAGGAAAACATCTCAAGCAGCAAGGCTGCGTCTGCTTGCCACCCAGCAGTGAGCTGCCTGGCACGGTTATTGATGGGGTGCTCAGGTCATTGGTTCTTTAGGGGAAAGCAGCAGGTGCACTCATGTCGCCCTAGGGCCACGCACCGAGAAGTCCTGACTGCCATTCTGAGCCACTGTTTCCACGCTTTACACTAGAATGCTCTCTTTATGTAGCCCTATGATTTCCGCTTCACATCGGAAGCACCCATCAAGTTCTCAGTCCAGCTGAAGGCCGATCCCTCATTGTGCAGCCTACAGCACTACCCTGAGACACCTAGGGGGCCAAGCCGCGGAGGGATCTCCTGCACGCCTCCAGTCCCTCTGCTCCCTTTGTCCCTCTTCTCCTGTCTTCTCTTTCCTACCTCTGTCTCTACCCTACGAATTGCCCTGGAGTTTTAATTCAGTACTTAGAGCACTGGTTCTCAAGCCTGGATGCGTATTGCAATCACTTGAGGAGTTAAAAAAACAAAACAAAACAAAAAACCAAAACAACTGTTGATGCCCGCATTCAATTCCCAGAGATTCTGATTGAATTGATCTTGGGTGGGAGCTGGACTTTGGGAATTTTTAAAGCGCCCGAAGTAATTCTACGGTGCAGTCGAGCCTGAGAACCAGTGGGTTCGGTTCCGTTTGAGTAGGCCCCCTGGGGGCAGCATTCTAAAAGCCGTGGCAGGAGGGGCTGGCTCTACCTCCAGCTCCCTGCCCTGCCCCTCCCCAGCATTCCTGCTTTATAGGACAAGCACTCCGGGCCAGATGATCGTATCTGAGCACCAGCAATCAGTGCGGCCTGTGGTGCAATGCTCTAATTTTCCAAATGGCACCATCCCGCGGGGGCCCTGATATTCTATACTTGCCTTTAACTTCTCTCCACAGCTTCCCTCTTAGGGCACCTTCAGCCGACTTTTTATTTCAGCAACACCAGAGCTCCAGCTGCAACTCTAGCTCCGCTTGTACGCAATGGCAGAAGTAGGCTAAAGTGGACGGAAATGCCCAAGGGCTCGCGTGCGCGCAGGCACTCATGCGCATGCGTACAAACGTAATCAGCGAACGCAGGAGTGGAATTCTGCTGGCACAGAAATCCTCCGTAGAAGCAGCTCCTACAGTGACCCGTAAAGTCTCACTAGTTTGTGTCACTTGGTTTGGAGCATTATGAGAAACCTGTGGCCCTTGCTGCCAGACCAGGTCTTGCTCAGTGAGCTGCCCTGTGCCTGGAAGTAGCTCGCCTCCCTCTCCCCTCCATCGGGGATCCTTAATTGGCCCGATCTAAAGAGTACTGTGCCCGGGCTGGATCCCAGTCTCTAAGCGCCACCCCTCTCAGCCTCTTTGAAAATGAAAATTGGCACGAGTTTGCAGAAAGCAGCTTGGTAACGTGTCTCAAGAGCTTGAAATATGTTCAAGTCATATCATTTCATCTAATTCGTTTACTTCTTATCCTAGAGAAACCATCAGAGATGAGGCAGAAGATTTATGTATAAAGATCTTCAACAAAGTGCATGTATAACTGCAAAAAAACAGAAGTCACTGCACACTTTCTATAATACAAGATCGGTTTAACATACCATGCGATATCACAGTATAGCCTGGCAATAAAATGCACAGATGGCTAAAACTTAACCTTTTCAAATGATTTTAATAATGTACGAAAATGCTCAATTAAAAATAATGTTTAATTAAAAATTATGGTTAAATGATTTATTTTTCAGTTTCATCCAAATATGGGTGTTTGAGTGTTCTGAGTGAGTTGTTACTTGAAAGAGTTGCCTCCCGGGGCTAAGAAGGCACACGTGGGACTAAAGGGTAGGACAAAGTAGGCAATAAGGCTAAAGCTTGGGGTTCCACGTGGACAAGAGCTCCACCCTGCTAAGCAGTTGCTGAATAAGTTGGAGCCATGATCTCACAAAGCGTGCCCCCCCACTCTGTGTTCTTCAGATGGAGGTGATTGTTGGGGACTTTGGGATCGTGGTGGTGCCCCGGGACGCAGCCGACACAGACCGAATCATGAATCACTCCTCAATACTCCGCAAATACAAAGTGAGTTCTCCCTCTCCCAGCTGGTGTAGCTCTGTGGTGTGGCATTTCTCGGAGAAGCCTGGGGGCCAGCAACCTACTCTCTCTCCTCTGTCCCCAGAACAACATCCTGGTGGTGAAGGATGACGTCAACCACCCCATGTCTGTCGTCAGCTCAACCAAGAGCAGGTACGTTTGCCTCATCATACGAGTGGAGAATGGGAAGCAGCCAGACCAAGCCCAGAGCAAAACTGTGCAGCAGCCCTTTTATACACGTTGGTGCCTTCCCTCTGTAGCCCCCCACCACACCCCGACTGTGAGAAGGGCCTCAGGGAAGGGCACCTTCTTCTCTATCAGGCTCCTGGAGGAAAGAAAGGAAACGATGAATCCTAGGAGCCCGATGAGACTCATCTTCACAAGACCACGGTGCAGAGAAGCACAAAGGAATGAAATAAGAAAGCTAATATTAAAATGCATACTGTGTGCTCAGGCTATTCTACATGCTTTTCATAGTGAATCATTGAATCCTCATAATAACTAAGATAGTTACTACCCTCATTTTCTAGAAGAGAAGACTAAAGACCAGATGGGCTTAACTAACTTGCCCAAGGTCCCTCAGCCAGGAAGTGGCAGGGCCAGGGTGAAATGGAGTCACCAGGATGGGGAAGGAATGGTGGGGGGCAAAAGGGAGTTTCCTGCTAGGGATTCCACTCACTTGGCCGGCGAAGCAAAGGCTGGTGACGGGGTGTGGGGGGCAAGCCTTTGCCCTGAAAGAGAGAGGGCAGACCAGTCCTCCAGCCTGGCCTCGGGGAAGGCTGTTTGCCTGATTACCATGTCTCCTCCTCCAGGCTGGCCCTGCAGCACGGGGACGGCCACGTGGTGGACTACCTGTCTCAGCCGGTCATCGACTACATTCTCAAGAGCCAGCTGTACATCAACGCCTCGGGCTAGCGGCCGCACCGCCCTCTGCTCCACTCTCCCCTTGTCCTCCGCCCACACACTGGCCCCTCCGGTCTCTGTCAGTCCCCTGTTTCTCTCCTGCCTCTCTGTTCCTCCATCTCCTCATCTTGACTGTTTTCCCCCTCCACCCCCCACAGTGTAGGGACCCGCAGAGCACCACGGCGTCCCTTATTCCAGTCATCTTTGGACAAACTTTCCTCTAGTCTCCGGGTTGGGGGTGGGTGAGGGAATAGGGGTGGGACTTGGGGGGAAGTGCAGTCCTTGGAGATGTGCTGGTGTCCATCTCCCAGCATGCTCTAGGGAGTGGCTCTGGTGTCCATCCTCCCAGCATGCTCTGGGGAGGCGGCTCTGGCTCTCGCCTTCCCAGCATGCCCTTTACCACAAAGGGCTATTTTTTTTCCTTTTCTGTTTTTGTTGTTGGATTTTGATTGTTGTTGTTCACGCCTCAGAGAACTTGGATGGAATCAGTGTCCGCAGTTCTTTACATTTGTAGCCTCGATGCAGTCCTGTGGGGTCACTTTCCCATGACAGGAGACCATGGCCAGCCCCAGCACAGTGAGTGCACGAGGGCCGCAGCCAGTGAAGAAGGACAGGCCACCTCTACTTTCCCTCCACCCTCCCACCTACTCATCCCTCACCTTCCCTCCAACAGCAGCAGCAGCAGTCTGGGGTCAAGTGTGAGACTTTCAAGTTCTGAAACTGGGGAGGCAGGTCTGGGAACAGTAGGGTTTCTTAGAAGAATTTTAGTCCGTTTCCTTGGTTTCAGAAGACCCTTTTTCCGAGGCTCTGGGCCTAGGTTCCCACAGAGCCAGCCCATCCCCATATCCTGGTGGCATCTGTCCAGCTACTTCTTTGGGCTGTGACTGATGGCAGAGCGTAGGCTTCCTGCCAGCCAGGCATCTCCAGGATCACCGTCTAAGCTGGTGGAGGCCATACTTAGCTACACTCCTGCATTTGAGAGGAATCCCATGTGCAAGACCAAGTCCTGATAATGCACTCATTTCTGAAGTCAAACACGCTAGGCATTCACTCATCCCTAGAAATCTGTGCTAATGGCAATGATGTGTTGCCTGTTTGGTTGGGACTTGTCTGTGTCATAAGGTGAGTCCAGGATGACATAGGAAAGAGCAGTTTGTTGCCCTGATAGAAACTGACGATACCCACGCACTCAACCCGCGGTGACACAGGCGGTACCCTCATGAGGTCTGTTCTTTCTGGAGCAACGGGGCCTGGGCCTTGTTTCAGAGGCCGGTCTTATCTCCTGCTGGGCCCTGCAGCCCCGGCCACCGCCTGAAGAGACCTGCCTGGCAGAAGAGTGAGTTCCCGGAAGGGAGATCACGAGGGATGCCGGGAGGTCATGAGGGACATCGAGAGCCACTGCAGTTTCACCCCTTCTCTCCCTAATTTCCCACCTGCCTCCACTGTCCCTGGAAACGGTATTGACAGGTTCTGTTCTAGTCGTTCAGGGCCTGCACATGTCCTGCTTGGAGAGCCAGAAGGAAATTATTCTCTCATGCTCCGTGTCTCACCCAGCCTCTGGCTCGTGGGTTTGCAGGTGTCTTTGAGGAATGGCCTCCGAGCAGCAGGGCAATTTTATCAAAAGCTGGTACCCGCCATGGCCCAGGAGGGGTTGGGTGGGATCTAATGCCAGGAACAGCAGTCTTCACCACACACTTCACATCTGCCATATCCTTCAGTAACCCCCAGGAAGGAGAAGAGCACGGGAAGAGAAGCACCCAGGAGGGTGCCTATTCCACTTGGATTATGGAAATAATCTGCAGAAGAAGGAAGGAAGATTCTGTTCTGGTGTCTCGGTGTTTGGCTAAGGATCATGGATTCATAAATGAAAAGGACTTCAGAGATTAGTTGATTCAACATTCTCCTTTAAAATATGAGGGAGCAGAGAGCCCCTTGGGACTGGCTGGTCCCAAGTCCCAGCAAGTTTAGAGACCAGCAAAAGGACATTGTTTCCCTGACCTTTAGTGTCATATCCCATGGCTTCTGCCCCTCCGGCTCCTGTGACATTGACCTGGTAATACGTGGTTTTGACTCGTCTCAGCTTTACCTGCCGTCCTGCTCTTAAAATATGTCTGGCCCAGGTGCCTCCTATATATGTCTTTGTCTATGGCAGTCCTGGGGCAAATGTGATGGTGAGGAAGGCCGCAGCTAGTTTCCCTTAGAAGTCAAGAAATCTCAGCAGCTTGGAGGAAATCCTAGAAAGTGACTCTCTGAATCCAAGAAAGGGTTGCTTTGTGGAAGGTTAAGAAAGACCCAGAATGCTCAAGATGAGATCAGTGTTGGAGGCAGAAAGACAGAAGAGCCTTTGTCTAGGCCAAGAAACAAAGGAACATTGGGCGCTGGGCTCCCTGGGGGAAGTGGAGCTCATGGGTAGAGTTCGTCGTGAGGGTCCGAGAGAGAAGGTGTCTTCGGTCCACTCTGCTGCTCTGCTGGACTCTGGTCCAGCCCCATTTAGCCCACAGCCCATGGGAGAACTGGGCTGCGCTATACACTCAGTGTGGGGCTGGGAAGGCCCAGAGGAAGGGAGAGATGAGCGGAGGAGAAAAACAGGGGCAGTGGAAGCAGATTTCTAGGAATGAAATGGGGCATTTCTTGGTACATCACTGGGAGCGTGTTATAATAGCTTTCCTTTCAGACAAGGAAAAGTGAGGTGAATCTCCTGGGTAGAACTGCCTATTCCCCATCCTGGGCCATTCTTCATTTGCTAGGGGGAGGTCCGAACTCCTCTCTCAGTCCAGGGCAGGGCATTGTGACCCCGCCAGTGACAACGCCAGAAAGAGGATTCAGAGTTCGAAGTAGTACCCCAGATGCCCAGAGGCTAACCTCCAGTCCCCGGCTCCCCCTCTGGGTCCTGCTCCTTCCTAGTAAGTCCATCCTGAGGCTCGCCTGGCTCAGGCATTACGGGAAATGCCTGGCTGGAATGATCCTACCAAGGGGGGGTGGGTCTGGAGCCACGTTTTCTACCAATAAAAAAAAGTCTCGTATTTCTGAAAGTGTCTGAGATGAGTGAGAGCAGGCGGAGGGGAACCCTTTGTGCCAAGGACTGTCTCTTCAAGGAATGGCCCTCAGGGGGAGTCTGCTGCCAGCTGGTACCTCATACGCCACCCCCACCCCCAGGCAGCCTCTCTTGCTTTCATTTTTCTTGAATGTACAGAGGAACAGGGGAGGGAAGTGTCTTACTGAAGTGCCTGATACCCAGAGCTAGAGCTTCGAGAGACACCATTCTTCCTGTCTCAGCTTGACCTACCTTCCCCCGATGTTCTCGGGTCTCACGCTCCAGCTTCTGGAAAAGAATACAAGAATTTGCTGTTGTACTTAAGTAGAAAGTGAGACTCAATCATCAATATCAATAATCAATCTATAGCAAAAGGCAGGGAATTACAGGGAAAAACAACGTGTATTTTAACAGCCCCAATCTATTCATCCAAACCACACACACTCACACACACACACACACACTCGCACTCACACCCTTTAGGGGACTAAGAAGCATGTTATGTTTCATTCACAAAAAGAGTGATGCAAACGTCAATCAGTGGAATAGGAAAAGCTCCGGATCTCTCCCACGACCACTGCAGGACGGCCCATAGAGGAGGTGGAAGGGATGGAAACGGGGACCAGTTTATAGCTCATCCAATTAGGACACTTGAATAGTGTTGCAGAAACGATGGTGAAGATGCTCTGTCGAATTCGCCCAGTCTGCACCTTCCTAGAGCTGCTCGGTAAACTCGGCTCCCCCCCCTGGTTTCTTTGTCATGTAAGTCTGGAGTGTCCTGTTAACCTGTTCCGATCAGGGCTGAGCCCCGCTCCTCTCTCACAGTCACAGGGTCCGGAACTCAGCCTGATCCGGGCAGTCTCAAGGATTGGCGTGGGGAGGGGGAAGCTTTTTTTTTTTTAATCACTTTTTGGTCACTCAAGCTGCCATTTTCATAGTAAGATTTGCTTTCCAGAAACCAATTCATGAAATAAAAATTACATTCGAGTTGTGACGCCATTTCACGGTGAAATATTTTGAGTAAAATTTTGTTGCTTAGACTAGTCAGATGAAGTTTTATCAGCAATAGGTTACAATTATGTTAATAAATTATACAATGCTACCAGAGCCTTGTGTCCTGGTCTAGAATCTTCTCTGTGGGTTGTGGAATTAAACTTTTTTTCTTCATAGGGCTATGAGACCGGAGGCAACAGTTGTAAACAGTTCTTACAGCAGGAGAGTTTCTGCCTGGTTTAGCCAATGACATGTATGCGTGTGTACAAAAGTGTATGCAACACACCCAAGGACCATGAGCACGGAAGAATCATTCCCAGTTTTGTGAATTGTGCCTAAATTTTCTGTTTAAAAGTATCAAATCTTAGATGCTACCTAATCTGCATAGTCTGGTATTGGTTAGCTTCAGCTCCTTAATGAAATTAGGTCTTTACAACATAAAAATATATTTCTGAAAATTAAAAACCTGAATAACTTCTTTTGGCATTAAAGATCTTAAGTAAGACTGATGATGAAACTTGTACATCATTTTGGCAAGGTAAAAAAAAGCAAAAAAATTCTTTCATTGTTCAATCCTGCTGTAACTCTTAGCTTTCTTTTTGTCATTTTTAGTTGTGACGTACACGATGTATTGGTTTAGGTCTAAATGGTGACTGTCACTAGTTCATATCAGGTGTGATTCAGAAGACGAAATAGCGATTTCCTGGGAGTCCAGCTCATCTAAGGCTTAGCTACTTGTTTGTCGGATTAGTTGTGGGGTCTTTTTTATAAATCATTTCAGTACGAAGTGTTTTTGCTGTTGTTGAAAATTGGGATTAGTGGGCTTTGTGTGTGCCTGTGTGGGTTTGTTGGCCCAGGAGACTCAATAGGCCTCGTAAATTGGTTCCTTGTATTTATGTTCACTATTCTGGCACAATGCTGAACACTTGTTCCTCTGTCCTGAAAGTATATAATGATGAGAACTTGTTTAAAATAAGGTATAAACACTGTTTTACTATGCTAACTTTTGTGAGCTTATCGAATATATGTTCTAAATGTGAATGAACATTTACATACCTACACATTTCTCGCTTTATGACCCATAAGTACATCTTGGAATTTTCTAGGATGTTTCATGTAGGCCATAGTATAACACAAACAGAGGAAGGCATCTAATTTCTGCTTTCCAGGAGGGAAAACTGGGCCACAGCAAGAAGC